GTGGGGAGGAGGAGAGGGGTAGGGGACGCGGCACGGCAAAGGAGTGACACTCGGACAGTCACTCACTGATTCCCCTGGCGCCAAATTAATTGTTTTCTGGTCTCCGCTTGGTTCTCTGTCCTTACCGAGAGTAAAAGCAAGCTGACACCTTAAAGTTACTTATCGCTAGCCCACGCTGGCGTTGGCCCAGCTAGCGGCGCTCGATGTAAACATAGTACTATTCGCGTTTCATGCTGCCCCCCCCCAAAAAAAAAAGAAACACAAAAACAACACGAAGGAATTTCGTGCCAAGGAAGGAACTTATTGTTCTTTAACTTACATTGTCGTCAGCCTTCTTAGTGATAGGATCATTCAGAAAGTGCGCCCGCCATTTGTCATTTGCCTTTACGAACAAAGCCAAGTTCAGCCAATGCAAGGACTTAGCGCCTGAGTGGTAGGCAACATCTTGCCTGCAGTACACACGTGTACAGTGGGTAGCCTATTCTGAGTCTCGCAGGCGCCGAGCTCTCGTAATATACCGAATGAATCTGAGAAAATCGGACGTACGTTTTAGACGAGGAAAGAAAATTTGTGATCGGTGGAGTGTTAAACTCTTTTCAGTGTCAGGTGTCAACGAGGGTTTCAACCTGACATGGTTCCGCTGTGTAGGCACTTAGCGAAACGATTTCCTCCCGTGCCATAGCTTCGTGGCTTATCGAACTAGGAAACAGTTCGTCATGGACTCAGTTTGCCATGGGCACCTGTTTGTGGCTGGTATTGAGTTGCGTTTCAGGGCTCGTCCTGCGATGCCACGCTGCTAGCGAAGGTGTATACAGTGGTGTTTGTTGAAAACTGAAGAAAGGCCGTCTGCGTCTAATTTACATGCAGTAACTGGGAACAGCACGGCCTGTTGTTGTTTACGTGCGAGTAATTATTGTTTCTTCCGTGCCCCTCCCCCCAGGATTCGCGTGCTCAGCCGGCTCCGACGAACCTTGCGTATGTCGGCGCCCGGGCGATTGTTTCTCCCAGGCGGCTTCCTTGGCGCTGCCCAGGGGATGCTGCGACCGCGGGCTCGCGTGCTGCCGGGAAAGCGGCGTCAGTGAGCAAAGTGAGTGTAGGAGAGCCGTACGAGTGTGGGGCGGGTATAGGGTCCCCCCCCCCCCCCTAGGCGTCCTGCTGTCCTGCTACACCCAGGGGGTACAAATCACCCAGGCAATTTGTACGCGGGGATGCTTGGGTCCTTGGGTATCGACAGTGGGGTAAAATGCCCCGATCGATTTGTACCTCTCTGTGGCAACGTTCTTAGTTCCTTACAAAGAGTGGTCTTTACGAAGGATTGGGTTTGTAAGGTACAAAGGATCTGGAACCATCATATCACAAACGGTTTTTCTTCGTTTTTCAAAGAGCACCAGTTTGTGAACAGAAGCGTGCTCTTCGTATTACAAAGCCAAGCCCTTCGTAAGGATTTGTTTGTATTACAAAGGTTCCAGGTCCTTTGTAAGTGACGAAGAGCAGTCCTTTGTAAGAAACTTACAGAGAAGGGGGTAATACACAGATGCCCGTGGGGATTTGTACCCGGGACTATACGGGTACGAATCAGCTGCTTCACTTGTCGCACCTGGGCACTCAGTGCACGGTACTTGTTCCAGAGTGCGCAGCGTTCTCCAGGCTGCTGTACTGGGAGGGGTCGGCGCTGTGCCGCGCGCTCGTGCGGCCGCTGGTGGTGGGCGGCGACGAGGCGCTGCCGGGGCAGGTGCCGCACATGGCACTGCTGGGCTTCGGGGAGGGCTCGGCGGAGAGCGCGCAGTGGCTGTGCGGGGGCGCCCTGGTCAGCGAGCGCTGGGTGCTGACCGCCGCGCACTGCGTCAGCGGCGTGCGGGGGCCCGCGCGCTGGGTGCGCCTGGGCGCCTGGCTCGAGGGCGACGCCGGGGACGCCGACGCCCAGCAGCTGGACGTCCTGCTCGGGGTGGCGCACCCGGACTACCGCCCGCCCGCGCGCTACAACGACATCGGCCTCCTGCTGTTAGCCGAGGAGCCCGCCCTGGGCCCCAGTGTGCGGCCGGCCTGCCTGCACCGGGACTTCGCCATCCCGGGCAGCAAGGCGCAAGCGTGTGGCTACGGCCGAGTGTCCTTTGGTAGGTCTGGTTCTGCACTTCTGGCTCGCACCATCACCATGCATGGACGCTTGCTCCCATCGCCGTGGCTGTTGCAGACGCAGACAACTCTGGAGACGCCCTGCGGTGCGTGTGGCTACCCTTCCTCGCACGCGTGGAGTGCGCAAAACACTTCAGGGAGGAGATGGGGGCAGCCACGCTGCCGCGAGGGTTGCCGCGCAGCCTGCTCTGCGCCGCAGACCTGAGGGGCGGCAAGGATACCTGTCAGGTGCGAGCAGGATAACCCGTGCAGTTTATAAAGCAGCGGCCCCCAATGCAATCGCATTTTATCTTAGGGTGACTCTGGCGGCCCCCTTCACATCCTATCCGAAGGCTGCATGTACTCCTTGGTCGGGGTCACGTCCTTCGGTAAGTTCTGCGGCTTCCCCAACTCGCCCGGAGTGTACACCCGCGTCTCCCACTACGTGCCCTGGATTGAGAGCATCATCTGGTCGAGGGAAGTCCAAGCTGCCCGCGAGGGTGAGTGAGATGTTATGTAAAGTTAGTTTGAAAACAATGATGCCAAATAGGCACTGCACTGCGCTGCACGTCGTGTTATATTATCGGCAGGTACCTCTCCGCTAATCGAATATGGGATACCTGAAATCAAGTTTACATATATTGAAGACATGAGATCTGAAAGCCTATGGTCCGGAAACAATAGCGCGTCCATATCAGAAGAGCAGAGCACCCTGCTGTCAAACGAGACAACTTCAGAGAGTATTGAACCACCAGCAAATATAAATGAATGATTGGTTTATGCAAAATCAACTGTTTATTACATAACGCCACAACAAAACTAACAAAAAGATCAACAATGGTGTGTATAATTTAGTTGTCACAGACTGGCACAGAAAATTTGAAAACCAGTACTTTAATCAATTAGAGACAGTCTCTTGGGGACTGTATAAAATGGTATCCACGGAATATTTGGGAGAATATTCGAAGGACAAGGTTCACAGAGGCATTTAGTAATAGGGGAAGTAGAAAATTTCTCCACTGGCAAGAGTTCACACTTCCAAACACATATAAAATAATAACAAATGGAATTCACAGTCAACCATGGCAAGTGATCTTTCTACCAATAGCAACAGAGAGTCTAGACAAAAATTGTCTTTTAATCAAGTTTGTGTCAAGTCTAATTATCTCTTTTCATGCTTCAGAATACATCAACACAATAAACTTACAGCTAAAAATAATTATCGGTCATCACACTCCAACTGAACTTCTTCTGTTTGCACAACAGTATCAATCAAACTCTTACATAAATTTATTTCAGTGTTAAATCTCTGAAACCTTACAACTTATATTGACTCATAACAGCATATGGCCTTTGGAAAAGCAGTAGGAATGTTGCACAAACTGCCCCAGAATATACAAGATCTAAGTATTGCACTTACCATCAAGAGTGCACAGACAATTTTTGAAAAGTAGTTTTGTACTCGTCATTATAATGATCTGCTAATACCAAACCTATGTTGAAAAGTCAATTTTGAAAGGTTCTCACGGCGTAATTACAAGTGCAACTCGCATTACCTGAGTGTTTAATTAATTATAGATTTTCTAGGACAAAATACAGTAGTTATAATAATTTACATTATGAGCATTCCTAGTACTGGTGCATAAGCGTCCAATTTGTTATACTAATTTATTAATGTACAAAAGTTATCTACAATCTACAGTAACAACAAAAATGTACAAGGCACAATGTGCAGATATTTTTTTTAAAACACGGATCATTGCACTAGTTTGAGCAACAAAATAAAGCTGAATGACATCATCTGAGAGGTTTTTCCTTGTAATACATAACATCTTTCCAAAGCTTGGTGAAAAGTATTCATTAAAAAAAAAATGATATGGGTAACTTGTTATTGTTGATAGGTATGTAGGACTTCACTGCATTTAGAGTTTATGAATATTCAAACATTAAAAAGGCTCTGAAGTCATCCCATATTAATAATGCCTCACCTTAACTTTTGGGGGATAAAGAAGAAAACAAAAAGCAATGGCAGATAACCATTTGACTTTGAATATAAGGCCTGCCAGGTAGAAGATATCACACTTTCAAAATATCTATATATTTAATAAACATGCAATAACAGCCTGGCTGCTCTGGGTAAAATATCCTACTTCAACATCTCTAAGATGTCTGCAGTCCATCCTCACCACATAATGAGGTCTTTCCCATCCTATTTGCCTTATTCCGACTAGATGCATCTTTTCAATCTGTGAAACTGATCCACTAATTCTTATCATACTGAGGCCGACAGTTTCCATAGTATAACTACCAACAACTATTGCCTCGCTGCGGGTGGCTAGGCTGTGCGGCTGAGGTTGGCTCGTCCTGCCTAGCTCTTTGACGCAGTTCGTCAAGACGAGCCAAGGTGTGCCATGTCCAGAAACTGAGCTCAGTAATCTGCAGCGAAGCGATATGGAATCAAATACGTGGCGGGAAAATCCCACCTTGAATGGGAGACCCTGTATGATTGGACATTTTGACGCTGCCCTTCTTAGAATACCTATCACACACGTTCTTTCTTGCACACTAACACTCACGAAACAGGGAAGCATACACATGCACACAAGCACAAACGCGCACCCACACATACAAAAATACACACACAGATACACACGCACATACACACACGCAGACAGACAGACAACCAGACAGGGAACATTCTTTAGGAATCAGTCAGTCTCAGGACACATTTTCCACGATCCACGGGACAAACTTAGAGATCCTAGTGCATACTCCAGGCAGGTTGGCCTCAGCACAGCCAATTCCCCAACTGATTATTCCCGCCAGGAAATAACGACCATCCTTACCCCGGACTTGTAGAGGGCCTCCAGAGTCTCCCTGACAGGGTTGAGGAAGAGATAGAAAGCGAGAGTCAGTAAAATACTTACAAATATCTTTAAGTTCAAATAAATGTTACTAGACCTTATACACACCTGACACGAATCTTGCCCGCCGATATCGTATCCAGCACACAAGAAGATATCGGGGATGAACTCATGCCGACCCGCTCTGAGGAACATGCTTTTGCATATGTCATTGCTGACAATAGGAACAGAAACCTGTTGGACAGACCACAACAATTAGAATTGGTTTCACCCTCGCCACAACGGCAGTTACCGTAAGCATTCACTCTGGGCGCGGTTCTGGTGGCGAGGTAGGCCACCAGCCGCACACAGACGCCCGCGGTTGCCTATCGCCACTCGCGCGGGCGGCCCTCGCTCACCTCCTGCAGCACGGAGGGCAGCGTGCCGCCCTCGCTCAGCCGGCCCCAGCCCGTCACCGTGGCGTTCTCGCCGATGAGGAGGTCGTCCGAGGCGGGCAGGCACAGGGGCGCGATGTGCGGCTGAAAGACGAGCGGCGTGTCCATTCGCACGAGCGCCAGGTCGAACTCGTAGGTGAAGTAGTTGTAGCGCGGGTGCACCACCTTGCGGGCCGCGGCCCGCTCGACGTGCGGCAGGGGCTCCTGCACCGACGAGAAGTCGTACTCGCCCACCCGGATCCGGATCTGCGACGTCAGCAGACTGCAACACGGCACCAGGGGAGGGGTTAGAGCACAGGCGCGAGAGGAGGGGGGGGGGGCAACGCGACGAGACCTACTCGTCGACGCAGTGACCCGCGGTGGCGATCCAGTTCTCGTTGAGCAGCGCCCCTCCGCAGCGGTGCGTCGACGAGAAGCCAAAGAAGGACGTCCTGCGCACCGACACCTGCCACGGCCAGCCGCCGAACTGAGCGTTGCGCCCGCCCACGATCCGCGTCTCAGGCCGCGGGAAGAGCGGCGGCACCCCGCACTCTGGAGAAGGAGAGCAGAGTCAAGTCAGCCGCCCAACCCCAAAGCTACACACATAAGCGACTCGACCTCGCGCGTCAACCAACCATAGTTCCCGTTGCTGCTCGGCATCGCGGACACCGAAGTAGAGGTCAGCGTGGAGGTGGGGGCGGCGGTGGTGGTCGGCGCCGCGGAAGGAGGCGGTGGTGGCGGCCGCGCGGTTGTCGTGGTCGTGGTCGTTGTCGATGTCGTCGTGGTGGTCGTAGTCGTGGTCGAAGTCGTCGTCACCGGCCTCTTGGTCGGCCGCGGCCGAGGCTTTGGCCTGATCTGACTCGACGGCCTCGGCCTGGTCACAAACATGGGCTCGTTGGTGGTGGCCCAAATCATGTTGTTGCTGGCCGGCTCCGACAAGTTGGTCAGGATCGTGTTGCTCACGAAGCTGTGGCTCGCCGTGCTCGGGCTCGGTGGCGTTGTCACCGGTAGGGTGGCTGAGGCGGTGCTTGGAGACGGAGTGGTAGACGGCCGAGCCCAGCTGTACACACAGATAAAGAGAGATAGAAAGAGAACGAGTAGCAGGGGCCGACAGCGCAGAGAGTCGAATAAGTTGCCTAACCTCCGGGCGGACACGACGCGCGCAGTCGTTGCTACTCACATGGTTGGCGGCCGAGTGCTGGCGGTCCACGTGGAGGAGGCGGTTGAGAGCGTAGGACTAGAGGGACGACTCCACCAGTTGTTGTTGACGTTGTTCGCGTTGTTGCCGCCGGTGGCGCTGGTGGTGCCGCTGCCGGCCGCGCTGCCACCGGTGCCGTGCGGCGGCCTGGACACGAAGCTCGGCCTGTTGTTGCTGCCGCTGGGACGGATGGTGTAGATGGAGTTGGTGCCCACGATGGTGCTGCTGGTGATGATGTTGCTGCTGATGTCCGACGGGTTGGGCGGCGGCGCGCTGCTCGGAGCAGGGCTGGGACTAGGTTTGGACACGAACTGGGGCCTGTTGCTGCTGCTGCCGCCTGTGGGACACACAATATTATGGTGTCAATCAAAAACTTATCGACCCGTGCCGGTTTGGGGACATGCAAAGTTAATGTTGTAATGATGCGACGCTCCACTCACCGGGGGGCCGCGTGGTCACGTCGTGGTGGTAGGGCGGCGGCGGCTTCTTTCTGGGCGGCGCGAAGGGCGAGTGGTCCGGGCCGGAGGGCTGGCCGGCCTGCTGGCCCGGGGCCGGGCCGGCCGGCTGCCCGGGCGGCCGCGGCGCGCAGCACGATCCGAACATGAAGGTGTCGACGCACATGCCGATGTGGCGGCCCTCGCTCTGCAGGCACTCCCACACGAACATGCACGTGCCGGCCTGCTCGCCACTGCCCGCCACGCTCGCGCGGCACGGCTTCTGGCTGATGCTGTAGCCTGCAGAACGTTATTAGCATTATTGTAATTGTTTTGCACCGAGACGTGTAGAGCACTGCCCCGCTCAGAGCGGCGGCGTGATAACGCAACAAGCTGCTAACCCAGTCCAACAATGTTAATACCAAATTGCTCTCATCATCATTTTCTATGTAATTGTCCCTTTGCGGAAAACGTCGATAATTTGACGTCGAGCGAGCCGCATGAGAGGCAGCTCGGCGGCCGGCCGGCCGAGCACGCCGCATGACGTTACTTACTTTCTCTGCGTTTGACATGTCTCGTCTCTCTCGCTCGCCGAGGCCTGGACCCTACCCGGTCGAGAGAGAGAGAGAGAGAGAGAGAGAGAGAGAGAGAGAGAGAGAGAGAGGGAGAGAGAGAGAGAGAGGCGCGCCTCGACGACATGCTTGTTAAAGTGTAATAGCATGGCCGTTATACCGGCGCATGCTTTCGCGCGCGCCGCCGAACCTTGTGTAAACTTGATACTTTTGCGGGATACGACAAATAGTGAAAAAAACAAAATAAAAACAAAAGAACCCAATCAGAACCTAAATTGACATCTGATGCCTGGCAGGTACATGGAAAATAAATTTGCATAGGTGGTAAATAGTAGGACGACTCACTCTGGCCGCGATGCATGGAGCGAAGCGCCTCGGCCCAATACAGCAGCAGCACCAGCGGTAGGAGCGGCGTCTGCCACCGCCACCGCATCCTCAGTCACGGCCTGCAACGAGTCAAATACGAGTCAGTCACACGGCATCTCACAGGGTAGCACACATGGAAGCAGAAAAGAGGCGGGGGATGACAGCGTGGGGGAGACAGGGAGGAGGGGCGGGGAGGAAGTGAGAGGGGGGAGGGGCAAGAGACCTGACCTGACTTCATGGCGTATGATCACAATCACCATTAGGCCAAGACCAAGCAAGCGATCAGCTGATCCCCCTCTTCTGCCCAGCCCAGCCCGTCCGAGCACCAGCTGATCACACAGCAAAAAAACAAAACAAAACATGGTAGTGAAAAAAAATCTTTCGAAATGTCACGTTGCTTTTCTTGAGCATACTTGGTTGGGCACGGCCGGGCACGGCAGGTCTAATTGAGCTCAGATTGGTGCACGAGGAAGACTGCAAGAAATTTTGTCATCTGCAGACAAGGGATATTTTGTCGTGATAAACTTTTCCGTTTCTCGTTTAGCAAGATGTTCTTCCCATTTCCTCCTACTCCTACTAGACTCTCAATTTTTAATTCGCCTCCCACGCAAAACACGTCGCAAGCCATGCAGACGGTGGGTTGGCTTTCTCAAACAAACTGTGTGGCTTTCACATTTCACACCCATGGGAAGCAACATTACTCGTGTGCTTTATGATGAGGTGGGGTGGGCTGCGGATGGAGAAACAGAGAGAGAGAGAGAGAGGGAGAGAGAGAGAGACTGAGAGAGAGAGAGAG